TGTATTTCTTTAATGCCCAGTGATGTTGAGCATCTTTTCATATGCTTATTGGTATATCTTTGTATATCTTTCCTGGAGAAAAGTCTGTTTAGATCCTTTTTCTATTTTTTAATTGGATTGGTTGTCTCTATTGTTGAGTTGTAAGATGTTCTTTATATATTCTGTGCTATGGGTTGAATTGTGTCCCCCAAAGATTCATGTATTAATCCCCACTGTAACCGTTTTGAGAGTGGGAAATCCTATTATGGTAATTGAAAGGTGGGGCCTTTAAGAGGTGATTAGATTTTGAGAACTTTGCCCTTGTGAATGGATTGATCCATTCGTGGACTAATGGGTATGGTTCTGATGGCTTTGAAAGGAGAGCAAGTGAGGAGACTAGCCCTCACTTGCTCAGCCATTCTCACGATGTGATACTCTGTGTCACTGTAGAGCCACCACCAAGAACAAAGCCCTCACCAAGTGTATTCTCTGGACTTTGGACTTCCCAGCCTCTGAAACTGTAAAATAAACTGTTTCTTTATAAATTACCCAGTTTCAGGTATTCTAAGCAGCAAAAACGGACTAATGTATTATGAAAACTCAACACTGTTTTCTTCTATTTGTGTGTTGTCTTTTAATTTCCTTTATAGTATTTTTTGATAAAGTCCAAATAATCTGTTTCTTCCTTGGTTACTTATGCTTTTGGTGTCATATCTAAGAAAGCATTACCTAGTCAAAGTCATGAAGATTTACACCTATATTTTCTTCTGAGTTATAGTTTCAACTCTTAAGTTTAGGTCTTTGATCCATTTTGATTAATTTTTGTATATGTTGAGAGGTTGGATCCAAATTTGTTATTTTGCATATACATATCCAGTTGTTTTAGCACCATTTATTGAAAACACTATTCTTTTGCCATTGAATGGTCTTGGCGCCCTTTTCAAAAATCAGTTGACTGTAAATTTGAGGACTTATTTCTGAACTCTTAATTCTGTTCCATTGATCTATATGTCTGTCCTAATGCCAGTAATACACTGTGTTGACTACTATAGCTTTGTAGTAGGTTTTGAAATGAGGGAGTGTGAGTCCTCTACCTTTGTTCTTTTTCAAGATTGTTGGGGTATTCTTTGAGTCACTTGAATTTCCATATGAATTTTAGAATCAGTTTGTCAATTTCTGCAGAAAAGGCAGCTGGGATTTTGATATGGATTGCATTAAATCTGTACGTCAATTTTGGGAGTATTGTACATCAATTTGGAGAGTATAGGCAGTATCAAGTCTTCCAGTCTATGAAGCTGTATGTCTCTCCATTTAGAGTTGATCCTGAACAACACAGGTTTGAACTCAACAGGTCCACTTATATGTGGAATTTTTTCAGCCAACCATGGATTAAAAATATAGTATTCACAGAATGCAGAACCCATGAACACAGAGGGCCAACTTTTCATAAACATGGGTTCCATAGGGCCAAATGCAAGAATTGTCAATGGATTTTAGTATGTGCAGGGAGTTCTGGAACCAATTTCCTTTATACCAAGGAATGACTGTATTTAGGTCTTTAATTGCTTTTAATAGTAATCTGTAGTTTTTAGTGTGCAAGTCTTATACTTCTTTTTTAAAATTTATTCCCAAGTGTTTTTTTGTTTGTTTTTGGTAGCTGGCCAGTACAGGGATCAAACCCTGGACATAAGAATTATCAGCACTACACTCTAACCAACTGAGCTAACCAGCCAACTATTCTTAAATCTTTTATTTTTGATGTTCTAATTTCATTTTGGATTGTTCTATACACTGCTAATGTATAAAAGTATAACTGGTTTTTGTATAGTGATCTTGTATTCTGCAACCTTACCAAACTTATTAGCTCTAACATTTGTTTTGTGGATTCTTTTATACATATATATGTATAAAAGACCTATATATGCGTATGTGTGTGTATATATATGGTCATATCATCTGAGAATGAGAATAGAGGTAGTTTTACTTCTTTCTTTCTGATCTGGATGCCTTTTGTTTCTTTTTCTTGCCTAATTGCCCTGGCTAGAACCTCTAGTACAGTGTCAACTAGAAGTGCTAAGAGCAGACATGCCTGCCTTGCTCCTGATCTTAGGAGAAAAGCTTTCAAACTTTCACTTTTAAGTATGATGTTAGCTGTGGGTTTTTCTTAGATGTCCTTTATCATAATGGTTGAGGAGTTTCTTTCTGTTCCTAGTTTTTTGAATGTCTTTGTTGTGAAAGGGTTTTAGATTTTATCAAATGCTTTTTCTGCACTTGAGGAGATAATTGTTTTTCCCTTTGTTTTATTAATATAGTATATTACGTTAATTGATTCATATGTTGAACCAATATTGCATACTTGATGTATTACAATTACCACTTGGACATGATAAATAATCCTTTTTATATTTTGCTGGACTTAGTTTGATAGTTTTTTGTTGAAATTTTTTGCATATATATTCATAGGGATATTGGTATAGTATATTACGTTAATTGATTCATATGTTGAACCAATATTGCATACTTGAGGTATTACAATTACCACTTGGACATGATAAATAATCCTTTTTATATTTTGATGGACTTAGTTTGATAGTTTTTTGTTGAAATTTTTTGCATATATATTCATAGGGATATTGGTCTATGGTTTTCTTGTGATGTGTTTGCCTGGTTTTGGTATCAGTGTAATATTTTTGTCACAGACTGATTTAAGGAAGTGTTCCCTCCTCTTCAGTTTTTTGCAAGAATTTGTGGAACACTGCTGTTATTTTTTCTTTAAACATTTGTTAAAATTTATCAGTGAAGCCATCTGGTTCTGACTTTTTTTTCTGGTAAGTTTTTAAATTACTAATTCAGCCTCTTTACTTGATATAGGTCTACTCAGATTGTCTGTTTCTTGAGTTGGTTTCAGTAGTTTTTATCTTTCTAGGAATTTGTCCAGTTTATCTAGATTTTCTAATTTGTCAACCTTTCTTCATAGTATTCCTTTATAAATTCTTCTTATTTTTGTAAAGTTAGTAGTTGTGTTCACTCTTTCTTTCCTGATATTAGTAATTTGAGTCTTCTGTCTTTTTCTTTGTCAGTCTGACTAATGGCTTGTCATTTTTGTTAACCTTTTCAGAGAACCAATTTTTGGTTTCACTGATTCTTGTTATTTTTCTATTCTCTATTTCATTTATCTTTGTTCTAATCTTTATTATTTCCTTCCTTCCACTAGCTTTGGGTTTAGTGTGCTTTTCTTTTTCTAGTTTCTCAAGGTATGAAGTTATATTATTGATTTCAGATCTTTCTTCTTTAATGTAGGCGTTCACATCTATAAACTTCTCTCTGCGCATTACCTTTGCTACATCTCATAAGTTTTGGTATATTGGTTTTTGTTTTTATTCCTCTCAAAGTAGTGAATTTTCCTTGGTGTTTCTTCTTTGACCTTTTGGTATTTAGGCTTCTGTTGTTGAATTTACACAATTTTTAAAATTTCTCATATTTCCTTCTTTTATAGATTTCTACTTTTATTTCATGTGGACAGATAACGTACTTGTATGTTTCTAATACTTTTATGTTTATTGAGACATGTTTTATGGCCTGATATAAAGTCTATCCTGAAGAACGTTGCATGTACACTTGAGGAGACTATGACATATTCTGCTGTTGTTGAGTCTAGTGTTCTATAGATGTCTATTAGGTCTAGTTGAATTATAGTGCTGTTCAAGTCTTCTGTTTCCTTACCGATCTTCTGTCTAGTTGGTATCCATTATTGAAAGTAGGATGTTGAAATCTTCAACTATTATTGTTGAATTGTCCTTTTTGCTTTTAAATTTTGTCAATTTTTGCTTTATGTTTTGGAGGCTCTTTTGTTAAGTGCCTACATGTTTATAATTTTTATATCTTCTTGATGGGTTGACCCTTTTCTCATACTAAAATATCCTTCTTTGTGTCTAATAAGAAATTTTTGTTTTAAGGCTATTTCTGGTATTAGTATAGCCATTCTGGGTCTCTTTTAGTTACTGTTTACATGGCATCATCTTTTTTTCATCTTTTTACTTTCAACCTATTTATGTCTTTGACTCTAAAGTGAATCTCTTGTGGGCAGCATGTAGATGGATCATGGCTTTTATTCATCTTGCTTTTAATTGGAGAATTTATCCATATGTGTGTGCCTGTATGTGTGGACACATTTTGTGGTCTTAATAAATATTTGTTGAATGTGTGATGTTTGTTGAATGAACAAACAAACAAATAAATGGACCATTTTCACTTACGATCATACAGGCAAAAATGTTAAATAAAATATTACCATACTAAATTCAACAATGTGTGTATATGTTTAAATAATACACATCAAGCCCCCATAGGAATGTAAGGAATGTGTGAGCATTTGAACGTTAGAAAACTGTGTAGTGTGATTTATAACATTAACATATTGAATAAGGTATATGATCACAGAAATGACCAAAAAGAAATTCTTATTTAAAAATTTATATTGCTCATTTAAGATTTTCAAAAACAATAACAATAACAAAAAAAGAACTACTAGCAAACTAAGAGTAGAAATTAACTTCCTTGGCTCAATAAAGGATGCCTTTAAAAGACAAAAAAGTGGCTAATATCTATACTGCATGGAGAACTCTCAAAAGCTTTCCCTATGCAGTTAGGAATGAGAAAGGATGCCTACAATCCCCTTTTGATTCTAGCATTATACTGGAAGAACTAGACAACATAATAGGAAAAGAAAAACAAATTAAATTATTAAACTGGACAGGAAGAAGCAATACTGTCATCATTTGCTAGTACTCTGATTATTTTCATAAAGAAGGTCCAAGAGAATCTATTAACAAATGTCTTTATAATTCTACATTTTTCTAGAGAACTTACATTCTTTGTGTCATAAAAACAAATTTAAAAATAGAAAAGTGATATAATATTCTTGTTTAATCTGAAACAAGATTCTCTTTAGTAGTTGCACTTTATAGTGTATTTATGAGTTTTTGTAATGTTTAAAAATTAAGTTATGTTTTTCCCTCCAGAGCTACAGAGACTTCTGAAGTGGAGAGTCTGCGACCTCCTCGGTTCTTTAATGAAGATGGAGTTATCAGACCTTACAGGTTGAGGGATGGTACTGGAAACCAAATGTTACAGGTAAGTGAAAAAGTATCTTATAAATTAAGATTAAATGAGTCAAGATAGGTTTTTTTTAAGTGGCTATTTAATACTTTAAATATATATTAGATTATTTGGGCTTTTATATGTTTTGCTTAATTTTATTTATAAGTTTCTTACATTTAGGTTTTAAAGTACATTTATTTACTATAAGATTTTTTTTTTCTTTTTTGCAGGCATCAAAAAATTTGATATGAAAACAGTTAATGCATGACTTTGCAAGTGAAAGCCAACAGTAGATTTTAGTTTTAAAATGTATAAACTACATACAGCTGTTTCAATATTTTGAATACAAAGAAAAGCTTTTGTACTGGTAACTTTTTAATGAGAATTTTAGTGGATGTGATCTTTTTGTAGGATATTCTTAGTTGTGCCCTGGATTTGTGGGATTTGTTGAAAGCCAGTGTGCCTTATGTACCCTCATAGTTGATGATACTTATTTAGCCAATGAGACCATTTCCTTCAGGTACTTCCAACTGTTTATCAAGTTATTAGTAGCTTTTATAACAGAGATAATCTTCATATCCAATTAGACATGAAAAAGGGAGGGAAAAAACTCAGGAACACTACTATTGCAAATTATTCTTGGATTTTTATGCTTTGCTTTTGAAAATGCTCAAATGATCATGACCCTCTTCCTGATTTATTCTGTTACAGTCTATGGAAAACCTTGTGGAATTTCATAAAAATTGGATTTTTATGAAATCTGGTTTTTTAAAAATCTGGTTAATGTTGTAGGTAACATAGTAATCATATACTAGGCTATACCAGTGTAAAGTCATTCCTGTGCTTCAGATGTAGAGTACCAAGTTAAATCATTTGTTTGAAAACGAAGAGTGATTATGTTGTATAGACTTAAAAATACTCATGGTAATAATAAACTGTTGGAATCTGGAACTTCCTTTATAGCTTTAATATTTTAAATACTGTCATGTTTAAAGTGATTAAGGTAAAGATTTAAAACTTTAAAATTTAATATTGCAGGGCCGGCCCAGTGGCGCACTGGAGAGTGCACCGCTTGGGAGCGCAGCGGCGCTCCCGCCGAGTTTCTCTGAGCCTTCTATCAAATATATTAAAATGTAACCATACAGTTAATGTGTACTGTTTAGTAAAGTGATTTTGTACTGTGTTTAAAATATTTTTAAACCATCAAATAATTGCATATTGGGATAGAACTGGCAATCTATTGAGAGGTTGTGCTCTAAAGGACATATTGTGCAGTCTCTACAATGATAGCTTATCATTTTTAGCAAGGTAGAGAAGTTGCAGAAGTTACCTATGATTGGAATGTATATTTCTACCCGATGGCTGCCTTCCCTTGTTAAAACACAGTTAACATGGTACTAACATTTTACTAGACTGAAAGTTGAATAGTTTTCATATCACCTTTTAAAAAAATCTAAAAATATTTCTTGAAACTATTTTAATAAACTTAGTAGGAAGTAAGAACGAGTAGTGAGGACACTTTAGAAATATATCCTCATTATTATGATACAGATTATGATAAACAAGGAAGCTGTGAGGTACCAAAAATTTCTCATGGTTGATAATTTTATTTCAGTGGCAAGTAAATTTATTCACACTTTCGTTGTTTTTTGAACCTTTAAACTTTGGGGTTTAAGGCATGACCTTTGGAGTATGTATTTTGAAAGATGCATACTATTTTTATTAGGCCAGTCTCAACGTTAATTGCTATAAGAGCGATATAAATGACTTAAACTCACAATCCTTGTCAGCATTACCTGTTTTTTTAGCAAGAGTGTTAAATACAGTACTAGCTGGAATACCTATGGGAATTCACCAGATACCTTGGGACGTTTGCCATTAGCATTATTTTCCTACAGGTGAAAGAAGTGGATTGTTGTTTTGCTGGTTGTAGTGCTTTTTTGAATCAACACTCTATTGTTAGCAAACACTTTAAAGTATAGGAATACCAATACTGTAGAAAATAATTAAATGACATGTAAACTGAATTTAAAATCTCATTTACCTAGACTCTTATTTTGCTTAAAGTGGACTTGAGGATGGTGCCTTAGAAAATGCTGGATTTTCAAATGTTTCTCCTTTTCTCATTTTCTAAAAAAGGTGCTATGATTTCACTAAATTATGTATGCCCATAAGTAATAATTAAATATAAAATACATCCTTTTATTGTGTACCTTTCTATCCAGAAAGTAGCACATTATTATAGTGCTTCCTAGTAGTCAAAGTTGCCTACTAGAGAAATAGAATAATTTTTATGTATTTATAGGATACCTCGTTGGTATTATCAAACCATTTTATACATTGAGTCTGTACCAACCAATAGAGTTTAGTCTTAGGTCTATTAAGTTATGGAATATTATATCCATAATTACAGCCTGAGTTACAGCTGAAAAATCTGCTTTAAAATTATTCTGACTCCTTAAATATTTCATAATTTTACATGTTTTCCAAGCATTTGCCGTACTTAACTAACCTTTGTGCTTCTTTTCTTCCTTTACCATGCTTACAGAAAATTCAGGTCTGCAGGGCGTGGATTATGACTCACAGTAGCAGTAGTGATGAGGATGATGATGAGGATCACTAGGTCTAAACTGTTGAAATGCATATGTTCTTTATCATTTTACTTTGAATGTTTCATTAACATGTTTTGTACAACTGCTTCCATAATGTTCATATGTCACTTTAGAAAGGTAAAATGCTTTTTCCTTTTAAAATGTTTTTCTACACATCTTCATAAAGCAAAATAATTGCATTATTTAAGCACAGAAAAAAATGTATTCTACATCCAAAGTACGGCATATGATATTAATAAATTTGCTTTTATATATTTAGTAATGTTGTATTACACAGTTTGTCTTTAAAGTTAGACTTAAATATATTTTTTAGTGTTCACTAGTTTTATGTTAAATTATCCGCTTATTTATTACAAAATACCTTTTTTAAATGTTCTCTGTAAATTTTCTGAGCTATAATGTAATGCCATTGTATAAAAACAAGAATAGCAATGGTCATTCAATGTTTTGTGTTCATTTAGTGTTTTAAACATTTTTGTCATGTTATTTTAATAATAATAAACTAATATAACTTAAAGCAGTGTCAACTTGTTCAATTCCAAAATTATGTAGATTGAACTACTATTATGAAAAACATTCATTGTCATGAAAAGTTAGTGAAATAATTCATAGTGTGAGAATGAAAACCAATGTTATTTTATTTCATTGATTCACTTTTAATTGTTTCACTTTATATTGATTTTTGTGAAGCAATAACAAAGTTATTTTTTACAATCATTATATGTACTTGTTAGTTTACATATTCATATACTATATCCCTATTATAAAAATGTTATGAATTAATTCAGGACATTAGGAAAATGTTTATGGTAAACATAATTATGTGTCTTTTTTCTGAGTAATATTAGGGAAAATGTCATCTGTGTCTCTGAAAGATCCATGAGCAAATCTATTTTATGTTTTATGTACTGAAGGATTTTTTAAAAAATTTCTACTCAGGGCCGGCCCGGTGGCGCACGAGAGAGTACGCCACTTGGGAGCGCAGCGGCGCTCCCGCTGAGGGTTTGGATCCCATGTGGAGACCGGTTCCCGCTCACTGGTTGAGCGTGGTGCAGGCGCAACACCAAGGGTTGCGATTCCGTTGCCGGTCCCCGGTACGGGCGTGACACCGAGGGTTGCGATCCCGTTGCCGGTCTCCGGTACGGGCGCGACACTGAGGGTTGCGATCCCGTTACCGGTCAGTAAAAAAGACAAAAAGGAAAAAAAAAAATTTCTACTCAGATGAAACTGTCTTATTTCCCTAATATATCAGATGTACTAAATAAAACCCTCTAAAATGTGAATGATTATTAGCAGTTATAGTGTTTAATCCCATATGACTGCTGTGCTTTTGGATCAACAAAGGAACATTTACTTTCACTTATGTTAAGCTCTTTGCTTATATTGAACTTATATTAGATTGTAGTAGATAATTGGCTTAATTGTTGAACTTTTGGCTTAACCGATTTGGCCAGTGATTTCTGAGTTTCTTCTAATTCTTAGGTTTATCAAGCTTTTATTGCTATAAATCATTATGCTCAATGTTCTTTGGAAGTTACTATTTTAGATTGTAAAATATTGAGCTCATCATAAACAAACAGCCCTTGAAATTTCTACCTACCTAGCATTCATTCAAATTGAATAGAAATTAAACAGAAATCAAAGTCATATATACTAGAAATACATAAATGTCAAAGAATTTCTTATTTTCATCACAATAGTATTCTTTTTGGAATAAGTAAATAAAAATGGTGATCATAAAATAGTCACTACTTGTGTCAGAGACTGAATTTATATTTGTCATGTACCAACTGCCATCTTTACCCTTGGCCAGAATCAAACCAAACCTATACCTTCTACTAACTAGAAGCTAGAAAAGAACATAGCCTATTGTTATATGTAATTATTGTGTATGCCAGAGGAAGGAAGGGTCTGGAAATGTCTTCACTGGCTTCTAATGTTCCAACTTTGAGAGAAAATGCTAAACTACTTGTGCACAAGACATTTACTGAGTTTCCTGTGGTTGGTCTGTGACACTTTAATTTTATGGTATGGTTTCATAAAGATGATCTTAATATTCTATTCCTTAAGAATTTATCTGGAAGAAGTTCTGGTTATTTCAGCAGTTGCTTACTATTTTAATGAAAAGAAAATTGGACGTAGGATTACATTTATTTAAAATCTCTTCAATAGTAAAAAGATTTAAAACAATATTCTGGTAACTAGTAAACTTTTAGTAAACTTTTCTCATGTAGTCTTAGGGTTTCATCATTCTTCAGTTTTTAGCCCTTAGAAGTGAAACATGTTCTTTAACAGTATAGTTGCCCTTGTTTTTCTGTTTCTGTTTTTCTGCCACAGTGAAATAATCTTTTCAAACTTCTGTGACCACAGTTATTAATTGTTTTTCCAGTTTTGTGAAAAAATATTTCGTTGCTTTTACTG